AGCTCAGAGCCGGTCTTCCTCAGCAAAAAGAGGAGGATTAGCATGGATGTTAGCTCAGGGCTGATCTTCCTCACAAAAAAAAAAAAAAGTGAATGAATTCAATAGATCTCCTAATTATATCAACATAAAAAGACCTTCTTCAAGGCATATAGTAGTAAAGCTGGCAAAAGTCAATGACAAAGAAGAAATATTAAGGGCAGCAAGGCAGAAGAGAGTAAGGTACAAAGGAACTCCTATCAGGCTCTCAGTGGATTTCACAGCAGAGCCCTTACAGGCTACAAGAGAGTGAAATGATGTATTCAAAATTCTGAAAGACAAAAACTTTCAGCCAAGAATACTCTATCCAGCGAAAATATCCTTTAGATATGATGGAGAAATAAAAACTTTCCCAGATAGACAAAAGCTAAAGGAGTTCATCACCACAAGACTCCCACTATAAGAAATGCTCAAGAAGGCCCTCATACCCGAAAAAGAAAAGAAAAAGGGGATACAAAGCCTTGAGCAAGGAGAAAAATAGGTAGACAAAGTCAGAAAAATTGCAGCTTTCTATCAGAACAGGTTAGCAAACACTTAATTATAACATCAAAGATAAAGGGCAAGAAAACACCAAAAATAAATATAACCTTGTCACTTTAACCACAAACTCACAACACAAGATGGAGTAAGTCATGACAATAATAACTTAGAAGGGAAAGAGAAAAGGGATGGAATCGACTTAGTCTAAGGAAATAAGAGGCTATCAGAAAATGGACTATCTCATCTATGAGATTTTTTATGCAAACCTCATGGTAACCACTAAACAAATAATCAGAACAGAGACACATATGATAAATAAAGAGAAAACTAAGAAAACCATCGTAGAGAACTACCAAACTGAATTGGTAGTCTGAAACACACAGGACGAGAAACAAAGGAAATACAGAAGAACTAGAAAATGAGCAATAAAATAGCAGCATTAGACCCTTATATATCAATAATCACACTAAATGTAAATGGATTGAATTCCCCAATCAAAAGACACAGAGTGGCGGGATGGATTAAAAAACAAGACTCAACAATATGGCAATATGCTGCGTGCAGGAAACACATCTCAGCTCTGAAGAAAAACACAGGCTCAGAGTGAAGGGATGGAAGACGATACTCCAAGCTAATGGGAAACAAAAGAAAGTAAGTGTTGCCATACTTGTATCAGACAAAGTAGACTTCAAGATAAAACAGGTTAAGAAAGACAAAGAAGGGAAATATATAATGATAAAAGGGACACTCCACCAAGAAGACATCACTTATAAATATATATGCACCCAACATAGGAGCACCAAAGTACATAAAGCAACTATTAACAGACCTAAAAGGAGAATTTAACAACACAGTAATAGTAGGAGATCTTAACACCCCACTTATATCAATGGATAGATCATCCAAACAGAAAGTCAATAAGGAAATAGTGGACTCAAATGATAAACTAGACCAGATGGACTTAATAGATATATATATAGCACACTCTGTCCAAACACAGCAGAATGCACATTCTTCTCAAGCATGCATGGAACATTCTCGAGGATAGGCCATATGTTGGGAAACAAGGCAAGCCTCCGTAAATTTAAGAAGATTGAAATCACAACAAGCATCTTTTCTGACCAACTGTTATGAAACTAGAAATCAACTACAAGAAAAAAACTGGGAAAGTGACAAAGATGTGGAGACTAAACAACATGCTACTGAACAACCAATGGATCACTGAAGAAATTAAGGGAAAAATCAAAGAATATCTGGAGACAAATGAAAATGAAAATACACCATACCAACTCATATGGGATGCAGCAAAAGCGGTCCTGAGAGGGAAATTCATAGTAATACAGACCCACCTTAACAAACAAGAAAAATC